AGTGCAGCTTTGGTTATTTCAAAGTATGCGGTATTTTGGCCTTGGATCAGTACATTCCAACATATCTACACACCTCCACACTATCCAGTTTCATTGAAGGTCGTTACGATGTCCGGGTAAAAAAACATCCGCATTTACGTTAACATAAAACGTCAACTCCAGAAAAGAACCAGTCTCGATTATCCGCAGAAACAGATTCCATTGGCAAAACAGTGGTGAAATTACATGAATGGATCTCTAAAAATCAATGATGAACCCAGGCGTTCGCGAAAAGGATAAGCATGTCCTGCCATAAGATGGTTATTTATTCCCTGTTTGATATGTTTTTAGCCTAAACATTTTTATGGCCAGGAAAGATATCAATTGTGTATACTGAAAGAAAAATAAGTGTAAAGGGCACAAGGTTAATGTAACTGCAAACCCTCCGCTACATGATATCCGTGTGGTGGAAGATGCGTCACCTGTTTATTCTTTCCATATAGCCGCACTTAGGAATCGGCACCGTCACACATAAGGCATTTGACATCATTAGTTCCGGAATCGCGAGGCTGGATTGGCTAATTACGATCCCGCTATGTTACGCATGCATGGTATGTGATATGATACAAAGTAAACCTTCCTGTGATCCGAAAAGTACTATGAGGGGCACTGTTTCATTTGTTTTGCCCTCACCTTTGGGGTCGACTAGGTCACTTCAGTAGAATGTCATCAGTAAGTGAGTAAGTGTTTGGGGTGATTGAACAAGATTTAATTTAATTTAAATAAAGGCGTGTCAGCATGGTGTGGAAGAAAGGCAAAAAGTGATCTACTAAACTAATTTTGGTCACTTCGAGTTTGTTCTATCCGAAGTTATATCGGGGGTCATAAGAGGACGCACTGTTTCTAACTCGTCAGCGTTCAACAACATTTCACGTACCGTGAAGATAACGGACATAAAAATATTAAATGTCAGTGTCTTGATATATTCTGGCCATAAATATGTACGTATTGGTAGTGTAGTCGTAGGCTTCTTTTACCATCCAGATCGTCTTAGGAAGTACTTTCGCTTATATTCGTGAAGAACCAATGAAGACTTATTTCACAATGCATGTGACTCGAGCGGCATGCAGTGCATATTCTATGCCGCTTAGCAAAACATCCATCTCTGTTATACAAACAATACACATGTTTTAGTAAACCCTAAAACATGTTGTAGTACTATTACACACGGTATTACACCATAATGGAAAAAACCTGTCCACAAGTTCAATCCTGGTGTACGGATGTCTGCAAACACGGTCTTGAGGTATCATTTACAGCAAAGAGTTCAACCCGACTGCCATTTTGAGAACCCCGGAGCGCCATGTCACGGTCGAGTGGGCTTCACGTGGTGATGTTGGGGGACGCCGGCATGAACTTTCCCCGCGTATGTACGTGCTCCGATGTGTGCCATGTGTGGGGCAGGAGTGAGGTATCAGGAGGTTGGGGGGCCAGGATTCGGCAGGGTGAGGAAATGTGCCCGAGGGTTGCCGAGGAAGTGGTGAACTTCCTCAACTTCGGATGTATGACTTGTTCCTATGAATCAGGACCGCGAGGGAGAGAGATGTGTTACTTGGGGATATGTGCGAAGTGAAACTACAGTAAAACGTCGTTGTCCCGAACTCGGCAGTTACTCGATATATCTTTTCAGACGATTGTATTTTAAGGTTACCATCAGAATACAACTCGGTATAAAGGTCTTATGTGGATTCTTCGCTTTTCCCGAATTACAGATACCTCGATATATCTGCGTTTGATTGACAAAATGTCCCTGTAATCTGGAAGGAACAACGAACGTTTTAAATTTATACAAATACTTCAAAGACTGGGGGCTTATTAGATTTAAATACAATATATAAGTTAACGTTTACTGTCAAGGAATACATGTTTGATGTCGGGTAGGTCGGACAGGACATGTTTGCCATTTTCTCGAACACCTGGTGTCATCGCTGTTGTTCAGCGATCCATTCACATATTTTTCCGCTTTCATTTGCCTTTTACTCCTAATGGAATCTGTTTGGGCAAATAATCAAGATTATTCTCTGGCGTTGACATTTTTTGTTTAATATGTTTCATTACAACGCATTCCTTATATTTTTAAAAAATAGATACTCCAACTTAAATATCACACACAACTGTAATCCCTGAAACTATCAACAAACATGGTCACTTGGATGTTACATAATAAAATATACTATCATTAACAGGGATTCTAACGAAGCATTAAGACACAATGCATATCGATGAAATAATGACCAAACTAAATAATTGATAATTAATAACTAACTAATGAAGTAATAGACAATAATTACTCGATGTGCCACAGAACGCAAGGAAATGCAAAATATTCAATACGAGCAATCAAATCTTCCCTGGCCATGTTCTAATATTACATTATGTACTAATATTACATCACGTGTTGCACAGATCAACATCCGTGCCGCTCACCATGTGTTGTAGCAATCACGTGTGAACAAAGGCCCCAGTGCCTCCTATTGCTCACCCGACGCTGTGGTGCAATAACCTGCCTAATTTTAGCACATGGACAATATGGAATTGTAATCGGATATAACTCTGGAAGCGGTGAATTACTTATTTAGATGCTCTTTTTGTGTCTCGATTCCCAGCGTGCGACGCATTTAATGGGCACGCCCTGGCAGTCGTTGTTAGCAAAATTACAGAATAGACTTTTACGTTGTGCTGCTTTAGATGTGCTAGTTATCAAACGCTTCGTTTAACTCAATTGTTACCATAATAACGTTTTAAATGTTTTTGTGCTGTACAACTGTTTAGTAGAAATAACAAAAAATAATCTAGCATGCACGTAGTTTACCGGTAAAGTGTTCAAACATGTGCGCTGTCGAATTTGCATTAACGAATTTGACATCGCAACTATCATGTAATACCCGTCCTGAAACCATCCCATTATAATAAATAGTTCGTTTATGTTCAACAACGCAACACAGATAAACAAACCGCTCACGTTATAACAACATGCATTATTACAACGATAAAGTTAACAAATGTAACTAACAAAAGTGTTCCATCATATACACACCGCCTCCGTGGTCCACTGGTAGAGCGTCTACCTGGAGATCGGAAGGTCGGTGTTTCGATCCCCGGCCGCGTCTTGCCAAACGACTTTAAAAGATGGTACTTGTTGTTACCCCGCCTGGCATTAAAGGGCTAAAACAAGGACTGCTCGGTTCGGAGACAGTATACTGAATGGGGTATTCATGTTCAACTGCGGCATGGCATCAAAGTTGGCTAGCTCGTCGCAACATAAGTGCGACAATCTAGCACACACACACACACACACACACACACACACACAGACACACACACACAGACACACACACAGACACACACACATACACACACACACACACACACACACACACACACACACACACGTGCATGCACGTCGCCTAATAAATTCAATAATCTTGAACGCAACGTAAAACCCCATTTTACCTCACCATCATATACACAAGGTCAGGTTTGCATGCACGTCGCTATATCAGTGCATTGATCTTGAACGCGACGTTAAACCCAATTTCACCGCAACATCGTATACGCAAGGTCCTGTTTGCATGCACGTCGCTATATCAGTGCATTGATCTTGAACGCGACGTTAAACCCAATTTCACCGCAACATCGTATACGCAAGGTCCTGTTTGCATGCACGTCGCTATATCAGTGCATTGATCTTGAACGCGACGTTAAACCCAATTTCACCGCAACATCGTATACACAAGGTCAGGTTTGCATGAACGTCGCTATATAAGTGCAATGATCTTGAACGCGACGTTAAACCCAATTTCACCGCAACATCGTATACACAAGGTCAGGTTTACATGCACGTCGCTATATAAGTGCAATGATCTTGAACGCGACGTTAAACCCCATTTTACCTCACCATCATATACACACATCAGGTTTGCATGCACGTCGCTATATAAGTGCAATGATCTTGAACGCGACGTTAAACCCAATTTCACCGCAACATCGTATACACAAGGTCAGGTTTGCATGCACGTCGCTATATCAGTGCATTGATCTTGAACTCGACGTTAAACCCAATTTCACCGCAACATCGTATACACAAAGTCAGGTTTGCATGCACGTCGCTATGTCAGTGCATTGATCTTGAACGCGACGTTAAACCCAATTTCACCGCAACATCGTATACACAAGGTCAGGTTTACATACACGTCGCTATATAAGTGCAATGATCTTGAACGCGACGTTAAACCCAATTTCACCGCAACATCGTATACACAAGGTCAGGTTTGCATGCACGTCGCTATATCAGTGCAATGATCTTGAACGCGACGTTAAATCCAATTTCACCGCAACATCGTATACACAAGTTGTCATATATATCGTTACTATTGAATGGTAGTCTTAACCCTATATATTAATCATACTTCCAGTAGATGCTACAACACAGGTCTCGACTGTCAGATTTCATTAGGCGTAAAAGGCAGAATGGAGGTGACAACCATGACACCAGGTGTTCACAAAAAAGCATATACACGTCTCTGTCACACATCAAAGGTGTCCAATGTATTCAAAATGCCGAACTAACATCGAATCATCGGAATATCGTGATTATTCAATATCCCAATAATGCACTATGTCTAATAGATTCTACATCACAAATAACAAACCACTGATGTTATAACAACATTACAACAGTATAACAACGTTATGGAAGCTATGATATTATTATTCACATACGGCTGCTTGAAGCATTAAGCAAAGTAGATACAGGTGTGGCCTATTTCTCCCCCATCATCAACATTATGCCAATGCCCTGATACATCAAGGGGATGCCTTCCAGACCTGTCGTCAGATGATGAAGATCGCAGAACTCTGTAAAACGATAGTGTCTTGAAAACCGATACGGGCGCCTCTGTAGACACAGCCGCATGCGATGCACACTACTGTGCAGATTTCCTTAGTTTCGAAACAGTAACATATGCGCGTCTGGCCCCGTCTGGAGATGCTTGGTATCCTGGACTGGATTAATTGGACTTTACGACCAAGAGCGGCTATAACAGTCTTCTTCTCAGTACGGACAGTTACCCGGTGCAAACAGTGGGATGTACTCTCTGGATAACATAATCAGTGATAGCGAGGATTGGTCATCTTAACGGCCGCCTTCTGAAATCGGGTTCAGTGTTGATAGCAGATCACTTATGAACTGCGTGTATATGTGTGTGTGTTGTTATGATCGACAGGTTCTAAGGACATGGCAGTGAGATTTATATTGATGTGTTAATTCTTTCATCGGTCAGCTGTACTAATGTTTATTCAGCCATTGAAAGGCTACAATTCAACGAGCAATAACAGCGTTGATGGAGCTATTTATGCTATCTGAAGTCCAAGCAAGGAGCTCCATGCCTCTACAGTGAACATTGACATAACTGTGGCCAACCGCATATCACCACTACAGAAACGTTGTAATTTGGTTCAATATGATGGCCGTATGGATACATATATGAGGTGGAAATGCAGTGTGATATTATTGATATATTTGAAGCTCGCGGACCATATGCGTGTGTTTGTTGCAGCGCCTAGTTCAATAGGTTATTACAAATGTGTGATCTCATACAGATGATACTGAAGGTGCTATTTCAGTTTTATTCACTTCATCGCAAAGCATTCTATATTATTAACTCAAACACTGATGTCATATTCCAAAACCTTCACCAATAAGCGTCTCCATCGCGTCATTAATGGATGCGAGTGAATCACGTGAAGTATTCTACAACATTGCAAAAACTGACATAATCATTAAGTCTCAAAGGATCGTTGCATACCACCACGTAATAAGATAGAACGCACATCACCTGTACACTGATTTAATAATGCATGCCCTAACCATGGATCTCATATAAATAACGTTAACCCGAGTTTAGTATTTTGGCCTCTGCAGTCGTCTATTTATGAGAGCAAAGGCCCGGAGCAGTGAAGTCAAACTGATGCGTCGGAATTTGAAAAGGTGTTGCCTTACCATCTGCTGCAAGGGTCCTATAGGATTTGGACGCTGATGACTTGACATCGACTTTTACATTTGTCGAGCGTATTCGCTTGCACTTGATACGAGTGAATACAAGACTGAGTATTCACTAGCTGCTCCAAAATGTGAATATGTCACTTGGTGCAGGAAACCGTTGCGTAAAATGGTTCGCATCTCTGGCAGAATGATTTACGAGGATTGCGTATTGAACCACTATTTCGTGCAACATTTACAATATCGCTTTCTGTGACCGCGGACTATTTTGAATGGATCGATAATTTTTTCGGTGCCTTTATGAGACTACTAACACCAGTGGCTAAACGGCTGTCCTAGGCTTAATTGAATGGACGGACTTCAGGGAATGACACTTCTGACAACTGTTCTCATTCCAGCAACCGGCAAAAGCCTGATATGTTATTTATCTTCGGCGATATATCGATGTAATTTACTACCACGTGGATTCACCTATCGATACGTGGAGCCCATATTGTCAACATGTGGAAATGTGTAACAAGTGGGGATTCATGAGGCTTAATTCTTCGAAAGACGGCGTCCAATGTTTTGAAACGAGTGTGTTTCTGAATGGATATTCTAAGTATTCCTCTTCCAAAGGATTCTCGGTGGTGCAGATGAAACAAACTCTATCATATCAAGGTGACCAGAGGGTGCAACTAATGTCACGCTGATACAAATCTACACAACGAAAAGGAATCTTAATGGATGTCAGAGATATCGGCGTCTGTAGTTGATAATAAATCCTACAGATCATAGAGAAGTATACTGCAATAAGTACATCGCCTTTTACTCTATCTGGAGTGTTGGGATACAATAAGTGGAACCGATTTTAGGACATCTCAGGGATTACTGAATGGGAAAACACTTGGATTTACCGTTAAACCAGCAGGATGGTGTTTATGTAAGTACTTCCCTTACTCCTCTGGATTTTTACAAATTACTTTCACATACTTTTCGACTTGATAACCTCAAGACCCCTGTAACCATTTGTACACATGCAATATTACATTGTTCGAAGTTTTGACATTTCACTAGGTAATACCATGTAAGGAAAGTGTCGAAAATATCCCATGTGTTGTATTTCCAACGCGTGAGTGCAGCATCTGAGGAATTCATGGGTTACGGAAGCTGGAATAAGCTTAAGTTACCGCCGATAATTTCTTATACCTCTTTTGGATTCACAAGAAACGGATTACCCTCCTGCACCGGTTCATTCGATGGTTCTCTCAGGTTCTTACTCAAATGTAACGACAACGTATTTGTATGCCCATGACTCGGACAGGGAAACACGTATATATATGCATGTACTTATACATTGTTCTGAACACTTTGTACACAGATCACAGTAATGCCTAACTCATTGTTGTGTACACTGACAGTCACTCCGTTGTGTTTCATGTGCAGTCATGCACACAATTTACGAAGTTTGTATGCATAGACTCACAGTCGCATACAGCCACAGGACCCGCATTGAAGGCAACTTCAAGCTCAGATGGTGTTTGTAAGACCAGGACGTTTAGATTGTCTGATATCGCGAAAATGTGGTTTCGGATATTGTATGAATCGTACCATGGGCTGCTTTTAAGGGAGATGTATGATTTTGGGACGCGTTTGTCGCTTGTATCGTATTGATGTTAGGCGTTGTATTCTAGACTTAACTCAAATTAACTCTTGTCGTTTACAACTCTTTATATATATATATATATATATATATATATATATATATATATATATATATATATATATATATATATATATATATTGGATATACGTGTGTCAAAATCTAGTAATTAAAGCATAAGGGACAATAGCTGTGTTCAAAGTATTGTTTTGTGTTATGATATTTATGTTTTCAAAGGCTTTGTCCCACATTATGGATAGGAGTTTACAAATACGTTGTCTCTCAGTGTATGCATCCACTTAGCGTTTGTCTCTCAGTAAAGGTTTAATATGTGTATGTATTTTACAGCTGTCTCTCAGAATTGGTTAAAAGCATATTTGTGCTGTGTTAACGTGGTTGGCAACGCATGGATGGTATAGGTGTATACATGCACTTGTTTACATGCGCTTAAGCATGGGTATACTTATGTTTACTTTCCAAGCTTATCACCCAGTTTTCTATAGCGTATTTGCATTGAACATACGTAGTGTTTGTCTCATTGGATGGCATACAGGCGTTTACATGTGTTAAAGTTTTGACTCTATGTCAGTATTAGGGCGAGCATGTACTAAACTTTGTCTCTCCTCACAAATTAACGTGTGTTTGTGCACAATAATTTCTTCCCAGTGCAGTAATAGGGCGTATTTGCACTAGCGTTTGTTTCTCAGTATGGGTCATAATGTGTATTCAGTGTTTTGTCTCTCAGTATGGGTCATAATGTGTATTCAGGATGGGGGGCAGGATGTGCTCACGCGAACTCTGGTATCATCACAAGTTGATAGTGATTTATGAACACATTCCTATGCTATAGTCGGAACCGTACAACGGACACTGGTTTAGCAGACATTTCTCATGGCTTGTTTTTGGTGGTACATTCATTTAGTTTTAACAGACATATGGGTAATAATGTGTATTCAGTGTTTGTACCTGGCGTTTGTCTCTCAATATGGGTTATAATGTGTATTCAGTGTATACCTGGCGTTTGTCTCTCAATATGGGTTATAATGTGTATTCAGTGTATACCTGGCGTTTGTCTCTCAATATGGGTTATAATGTGTATTCAGTGTATACCTGGCGTTTGTCTCTCAGTATGGGTTATAATGTGTATTCAGTGTATGTACCTGGCGTTTGTCTCTCAATATGGGTTATAATGTGTATTCAGTGTATGTAGCTGGCGTTTGTCTCTCAGTATGGGTTATAATGTGTATTCAGTGTATACCTGGCGTTTGTCTCTCAGTATGGGTTATAATGTGTATTCAGTGTATACCTGGCGTTTGTCTCTCAGTATGGGTTATAATGTGTATTCAGTGTTTGTACCTGGCGTTTGTCTCTCAATATGGGTTATAATGTGTATTCAGTGTATGTACCTGGCGTTTGTCTCTCAATATGGGTTATAATGTGTATTCAGTGTAAACCTGGCGTTTGTCTCTCAATATGGGTTATAATGTGTATTCAGTGTATGTAGCTGGCGTTTGTCTCTCAGTATGGGTTATAATGTGTATTCAGTGTATACCTGGCGTTTGTCTCTCAGTATGGGTTATAATGTGTATTCAGTGTATACCTGGCGTTTGTCTCTCAATATGGGTTATAATGTGTATTCAGTGTATGTACCTGGCGTTTGTCTTTCAATATGGGTTATAATGTGTATTCAGTGTATACCTGGCGTTTGTCTCTCAATATGGGTTATAATGTGTATTCAGTGTATACCTGGCGTTTGTCTCTCAATATGGGTTATAATGTGTATTCAGTGTATGTAGCTGGCGTTTGTCTCTCAGTACGGGTTATAATGTGTATTCAGTGTATACCTGGCGTTTGTCTCTCAGTATGGGTTATAATGTGTATTCAGTGTATACCTGGCGTTTGTCTCTCAATATGGGTTATAATGTGTATTCAGTGTATGTACCTGGCGTTTGTCTCTCAATATGGGTTATAATGTGTATTCAGTGTATACCTGGCGTTTGTCTCTCAATATGGGTTATAATGTGTATTCAGTGTATACCTGGCGTTTGTCTCTCAATATGGGTTATAATGTGTATTCAGTGTATGAAGCTGGCGTTTGTCTCTCAGTATGGGTTATAATGTGTATTCAGTGTATACCTGGCGTTTGTCTCTCAGTATGGGTTATAATGTGTATTCAGTGTATGTAGCTGGCGTTTGTCTCTCAATATGGGTTATAATGTGTATTCAGTGTATGTACCTGGCGTTTGTCTCTCAATATGGGTTATAATGTGTATTCAGTGTATGTACCTGGCGTTTGTCTCTCAGTATGGGTTATAATGTGTATTCAGTGTATACCTGGCGTTTGTCTCTCAATATGGGTTATAATGTGTATTCAGTGTATGTACCTGGCGTTTGTCTCTCAATATGGGTTATAATGTGTATTCAGTGTATACCTGGCGTTTGTCTCTCAATATGGGTTATAATGTGTATTCAGTGTATACCTGGCGTTTGTCTCTCAATATGGGTTATAATGTGTATTCAGTGTATGAAGCTGGCGTTTGTCTCTCAGTATGGGTTATAATGTGTATTCAGTGTATACCTGGCGTTTGTCTCTCAATATGGGTTATAATGTGTATTCAGTGTATGTACCTGGCGTTTGTCTCTCAGTATGGGTTATAATGTGTATTCAGTGTATACCTGGCGTTTGTCTCTCAATATGGGTTATAATGTGTATTCAGTGTATGTACCTGGCGTTTGTCTCTCAATATGGGTTATAATGTGTATTCAGTGTATACCTGGCGTTTGTCTCTCAATATGGGTTATAATGTGTATTCAGTGTATACCTGGCGTTTGTCTCTCAATATGGGTTATAATGTGTATTCAGTGTATGAAGCTGGCGTTTGTCTCTCAGTATGGGTTATAATGTGTATTCAGTGTATACCTGGCGTTTGTCTCTCAATATGGGTTATAATGTGTATTCAGTGTATGTACCTGGCGTTTGTCTCTCAGTATGGGTTATAATGTGTATTCAGTGTATACCTGGCGTTTGTCTCTCAATATGGGTTATAATGTGTATTCAGTGTATGTACCTGGCGTTTGTCTCTCAATATGGGTTATAATGTGTATTCAGTGTATACCTGGCGTTTGTCTCTCAATATGGGTTATAATGTGTATTCAGTGTATACCTGGCGTTTGTCTCTCAATATGGGTTATAATGTGTATTCAGTGTATGAAGCTGGCGTTTGTCTCTCAGTATGGGTTATAATGTGTATTCAGTGTATACCTGGCGTTTGTCTCTCAGTATGGGTTATAATGTGTATTCAGTGTATGTAGCTGGCGTTTGTCTCTCACTATGGATTATTATGTGTATTCAGTGTATGTAGCTGGCGTTTGTCTCTCAGTATGGGTTATAATGTGTATTCGGTTTATGTACCTGGCGTTTGTCTCTCAGTATGGGTTATAATGTGTATTCGGTTTATGTACCTGGCGTTTGTCTCTCAGTATGGGTTATAATGTGTATTCAGTGTATGTACTCACTGTTTGTCTCTCAGTATGGGTTATAATGTGTATTCAGTGTATGTACTCACTGTTTGTCTCTCAGTATGGGTTATAATGTGTATTCAGTGTATGTACCTGGCGTTTGTCTCTCAGTATGGGTTATAATGTGTATTCACTGTATGTACCTGGCGTTTGTCTCTCAGTATGGGTTATAATGTGTATTCAGTGTCTGTACCTGGCGTTTGTCTCTCACTATGGGTTATAATGTGTATTCAGTGTATGTACCTGGCGTTTGTCTCTCAGTATGGGTTATAATGTGTATTCAGTGTATACCTGGCGTTTGTCTCTCAATATGGGTTATAATGTGTATTCACTGTATGTACCTGGCGTTTGTCTCTCAGTATGGGTTATTATGTGTATTCAGTGTCTGTACCTGGCGTTTGTCTCTCAATATGGGTTATAATGTGTATTCAGTGTAACCTGGCGTTTGTCTCTCAATATGGGTTATAATGTGTATTCAGTGTATACCTGGCGTTTGTCGCCCAGTATGGGTTATAATGTGTATTCAGTGTATGTACCTGGCGTTTGTCTCTCAGTATCGTTTAACATGTGTATTCGGTTTATGTAGCTGGCGTTTGTCTCTCAGTATGGGTTATAATGTGTATTCAGTGTATGTTCCTGGCGTTTGTCTCTCAGTATGGGTTATAATGTGTATTCAGTGTATGTACCTAGCGTTTGTCTCTCAGTATCGTTTAACATGTGTATTCGGTTTATGTAGCTGGCGTTTGTCGCCCAGTATGGGT